TAAAATCCACCAGGATTGCTGGACCCTCTGTTAATTCTGTGTTTACCGTTGGGGAACTGCCCACCTCTTTTCTGCAGTGGCAACACCATTTGTATTCCTGACCGCAACACGCGAGGGTTCCAATTTCGCTATAACTTTTCCAACACCTGTTATATCCCCATTATTTTCAGTATGGCCTCCTTAATGGAAAGAAAGTGCTGACCTCATTGAGGCATGACTTTTCATTTCCCTGGAGGGTCATGATGGATCTTCTTATGGGAAAGAACAAAGGGTTTGTGAATAAGACAAAAGCCATTGAATTTGGAGGGCCTGGCCCTTGGTAATCTGTGATCTGCAATGAGCAGCTTGAGTCTGAGGCTGGCTTGCCCCTGGCAGAGGGGAGCTAAGTTTTATCTCACCTAGTACTAGGGAGATGTCAGATGGACCGAGGACTGGGGAGAAGGCAGATGGACCCAGCTTTGGGGAGATGTCAGATGGACCTTACATTTCAGGTGTCCAAGACTACTGACCTCCACACCCACCACCTGCTTCCCCTCTCCAGCACCAGAAGAACCAGAGGCCCGTGGAATGGGTCCAAAGAGGTGCTGCCTCCATTCCGTTGTGCCTGCCAATACCTGACCATTCCTTCTCCCTCCCCACCCCTCGGTAGACATACTCAAGCAGCCCTGTGTAATTAATGACTATACTTTAGTGCACTAAATCACCAATTTCATAGGAAAATGCAAGCAGAGGAGGCCTTTCCCATCCATCTGAATCATCTCCAAGTTAGTCTGTAATTGGCCTGCGGCCCCTTCAGGTGATGGACACTGGCAGGCTCTGTGCCTTGGGCGACCACCACCTCCCTGAGATACCAGAGCAGCCAGGTATCGCCCCGCCCACAGGCATTTCCAATTCTTCGAAACACAGACAAGCAGCGACTGCATGAGAAACTGCCCTCACTTTGCTGCTTGGCAACTTTGGCAGATCATCTTCCTCCAGAGGAAGCCAGAGAGGTGAGGTAGCTTGCCCCCGGTTCACACAACTATTCCATGAGACCTGCGATTTGAACTCACATCTCACTCCAGCATCCTAATTTCTTTTTGCTACATGGCCCAGGAATTAAACCAATATAGAACCTGCTAGAATAAGTGCCTGAGGGCAGTGTCAGTGGCTATTGTCTTTTATTAGAACCTGACCCATCCCATTTATCATTCAAGTCACTTTTTTTAAAAAAAATACTCAACCCTTTAGTGGGTCTGTGGCTTATTCATCTCTTTCCTCTGCCCAGATCCTGCCCTTAATTATGCTCAATAATAACTGTTGGGTAAGTGCCTCCAGAACTGTGCTCTCCAAAAGGTAGGCAATTGAGCTGCACATGTTAAATATTTCAGTAATAATAATTTGATGTTAATCACATGTTAAAATGATAGTATTGAGGTATATCGGGGTAAGTAAAATATATTCTGGAAATTGGTTCTTCCAATTTGTTTTGGTGTCTTTAACTTTGCTACTAGACTGTCAGCAGATTTCCGTGGGTGGAGACCAGTCTCTTGGGCCTCAGCCCCTCTGGAAATGGCCCAGAGGGTGAGAATAGATGGGGGATCCATGGAGCTGTGAGGGTAGCCAGGGGCCTGATCACTGTGTGTGGGGACCTGCTGACTGGAAGCTGGATCTCCCGGATCCCCATCAGAGCTTGTGTGAGACCAGAGGCTCCGGGGAGGAAGCCAGCCTGGGCCCTTCACACCTGCACACTCCTCCCCAGGATATTTCAGCTGCTATGTAGGCTCTGCAGATGGGCCACCTGATGTCAACCCCATTCCCCTCCTCCCTCTCTCACATCACCTCTCTGAGATGACGGGTGTTTATTCATCAGAAATAGAAGTTCAGCATACTGTGGGCACTTGGTGAGGTCTTTGCTTGTGTTTCCTTGTCCACCAGCAGAGAGACAGGGGACTAGTCTGCAGCTCTGTCTGCATCTGCAGCGGATCTTGCCCTTACAAGCTGTGGGACCATGGGCCAGTGCCTTCATCTCCTCACCCATTAAAATGAGAGCAAAAATAGTTACCTGCCTCCAAGGGCCACTGCAATGATTCAAGGAGGCTGTGCACACTGATGCTTTAGCACAGGGCCTGGCACAGGATGGAGCTGTGCAAGGTGAGCTCTCCTGATCATATGCAGCTTGTCACCCCCACTAAACTGACCCACTAGGGAAAGAATCCCTGGACCCCTGTCCACCACATTCACTATACTGGATGAGGAAAATGGGTCATTTGTTTGAAAGAAGAGAGAAGATAGAAGGAAGGGAGGATTTAATTGGATGATTAAAAGTCTTGGTCTAAAACAAACATATGGAGAGCTTGAGTCCTCACAGGACTCTTTCTCTGTTGCCCTGGACACAACGGGACATTTGGTAGAAGTGTCCTATGAACAACGTGACTATTTCATCAGATGCCATCATTATTCTCTTGGCCGAGAATTTTGCAGAGAACAAAGATGTTCCATCCTCTCTCCCTCCTTCCCTGCCACCTCCTTCATCCCTTCCTTTCCCTCTTTTTCTGCAACAGTAAAATAGTAATTTAAAGAGCTCTTCAGGCCTCTGGAGACTGCTGCTCTTCCACTACTTCCAGAATCTCCATGGGGCTCTGCCAACTCATTTCAAAAGAGAGCATTTCATTCTGGAGCTGCACTGGGTAGAATCAGGGGTCTCCTGCCATCTCCAGGCCCAATACTTAGTTGCAGGGGATGGGAGAAGCTTGTATAAGTGGCAGGGACAGACTGCCGTCAAAGGCATATTTGAAGGCAGAAATCAGACATTGCTGACCCTTGTCTATCCATCCAGTAGAACATGTCTCAGGGGAAGGGGGACAGCAGGGGAGGGGCAGGGGTCAATGCTCCATTTGAAAGAACATAAAGAACATTCAAATGAGAGACTGTCATGAGCAACCACAATTTGAGACTAGCTATCAGGTAAGGTACCAAGTCTAACGTCACTCTTTATGGCCAATCACTTTTCTGAATCTTAAGTTGCCTAATGTACGAAGTGCTGTAATAGGCCTCTCTCCGTGAGTACCAGAAGTGTGGGATGTGATGATGTTGCTAAACTCAGAACACGGCCCTTGGTGATGCTCAGAGGAAGGACAGGTTGCTTTTGCTGCCGTTGCCTCTTGAGTCATTTCAAGGAAAGCAAGGAGAAGACGTGAGAACCCAAATTTGGAACAGAGCAAACTAGCCCGATAGCCTGCTACTCACTGGCCGTGTGAATTCCAGCAAGTACCATTGCCCGTGTGTGTTTTGTGGCTCTGTTTTGCCATGGGGTTTGTTATTTGCCCCTCCCCTGTGAGTGTATCTTGACGATGACTATACAGCAATATTAGCAGTTCTTCTCAGTACATAGTCGATCTTTTAACAATGTTGCTAGAATGAATGTATTCAGTGGAGTGTGTGAACCCTATTTCTATATGTTGACCATTTCCAGTGCCCTCCTAGAGGAAATGACAGCATGAATTCTTTAGTCAGTTGGATAACACTTCCTCTAATGTGTTTTTTTTTTTTTCCATTGGATGTAATTTTTGAATAGGTACTGGGTTTGCATGGTGCTTGATTTAATCGAGTCAGAACATTTTAGGACAAGGCAGAGGCTTCTGCCCATCCTTCAGTCCTTAGTTCCCCATCCAGGACCATGACTTTATTAGGTTCCTGAGTCGGTATGTTAATGTAGGTGTCTGGAGCTCATGCAATAAACGGTTCTCTAAACCAAAGTCCCTACTCTCCCCTGCCCACCACTCAGCTCCCAACATGGCCGGAGGTTCTCCCCACCCCCTCTGTCCTCTCTTGGGTAAAGAACCCATCCTTTAGCCCCCCTCTTCACATCCTGTACTATTTTCTAATAGTAAAAAAAAAAGTGAGAAAGCCAAATAAGAAGAAACAGAAATGCATGTTTTCCCCTTCAGGAAATCTTTTACTTCCTTGTTTTTATGATTAACTTTTCATCCTATGTAAGTCCTTCCACATGCCTCAGAATTGTGTCTGAAGCAGCCCTGTGCTATGCTCTTCTGTACATTCTCTCTGCCCTGGGCTTCAGCCAGACACTCTACTGCTCTTACCTGGGGACCACTGAATCTTTGGTACATTGGGTGCATTCACCCACCCTTTCTGAGCCCTGTATGCCAATGTTATATCTTCCTTGTATGCACAGTTGATGAACTGTTCTCTTGTTCTGGAACATTCCATGATGACTGTGCATGATGATCTATTCTTGCTCTGAAACCTTCCATGACACCCAAAGTAAAGCCCCCTGTCCTATGTGTAACACCCAGTTTTCCACATCTGCTTCTCTGTAGATGTTGACACCCAGCTGGGCATAATTCCCCCACCCCGACTATTGCAGGCCTGACCTTGGAACTTCATCTTCTACCACTGAAAGCTGTTCATCCTTCCAGCCCTGCCCTGACATCTTCCATCCTCCATAAAATCATCCCAGGTCTTCCAAGTTGGGATGGATTTCTCTCCCCCACATTCCCAGCATCGCATCATCCGATAAACATAAAGCATGAATAAGGTTAAAGGCTCTTAGGATCTCACTGGTCTACTAGACTAGTTTCTGATCCCTTGGCTGGCAAGGACCTGGCAACATCTGTCTTTTCTCCCCCATGTCTCACTCTGAGCCTGAAAGACAGCAAGCACTTGATTGCAATGTGTGTAAGATTGAGTTGCCAGTGTTGGATTATAGGTTGTCTCCTCCTACAAAGCAACAATCATATAATGCCCATCAGGTATTTCAACTACCCTGCCTCTTTGCTCTTCACCAGGTTCAGAAAGGTGAGGTCACTCCTCAAGGTCAAGCAGCCCTGAGCTGTAACTGGACCTCAGTTCTCTCTTACTGCCCTCCATAAACCACGCCTCCTCCTGGATAGGGGGATTCACAATGCGAAGCCTGTGGTGAGGTCGCTGATCTTGGGAAGGCTGAGGGCTTGGACAGGGGCTGGGACCTACAGAGACTGACAAGTTGTGATCCCTCGCAGGGGGCATCAGCTTCGGGAGAACCAAGGGGACTTCAGGGTCAGAGGCAGACGACGAGACCCAGCTGACGTTCTACACCGAGCAGTACCGCAGTCGCCGCCGCAGCAAAGGTAAGGAAGTTGGGGGGAAGATTCTAGATCTCGGGGGGGGGGCAGATTGTTTGCTCAGTGACAAACCCTAAATCTTGTTCAACCTGGTCCCGAGCTTGTTACCAGGCCTCTGAGACCCTGGTTAAGTTAGTGACAAACATATTCTCTGCCCGGGATCCCTTCTTTAGTTCCTTTCAGTTCCACCTCATTTCTCCATGGATTCAGGAAGTTTCTTAAGTCTATGCAGGTGTTTTTGTTTGTTGACTCCAGCACAAGAAATGAAATATCTGAGAGAATCAGACAGCAAGGACAGTGGTTCACACAGAGGTTGGGTGGTGCAGGGGTGCACATCATAGAGGGCGTGAAAGGACCTGACAACTCAAGTCAGAGATTCTTTGCCCCGACGCACAAAAGGAAGCACGCTCAGCAGTGAAACACGCAGAGCCTGTGTGCCAGAAGCGCAAAGAATCCTGTTTCCCTAACACAAGACAGAGGGAGAGTTCTCCAGTTGGTTCATCTCGGCAGAACAACATGGGGCTTTCTAGATCAGGGCTTGGGCAGAGGACGTCAGTGTCGATGCATGACTGCTTCTCACGAGGACACCCAGTGTGACAGGGAGAGTGACCCCGTGGAGGACGGGTCCTGGGGGCCAGGGCACAGTGCTCTGGCAGTGGGGCTTGCCTTGAAGGGCATGAGGTCCCGATTTCCGGCAGCCAGCCCTGTGTGCCATTCCTTTCTGAGTGTTTGATAAGGAGGGGCAAGCAGCAAGTTCAAGATTGCATTTTTGGAAGAGAATGTGGAAAACAAAACTGAACGCCACTCAGGCCAGGACCTCCAGCCACGTGATGGCAGCCAGACAGAGCGTGTGGCAGACCTCGCACCCCGCCCCCAACCCCCGACCACCACCTCTGCTCAGAGGTGGCTGGGAAGGAGGCAAGGAGCAGCAAGCCTTCCTTACAGAACAATTCTGCTGACTTTACCCACCTGGTGGACAAGGAGCATAGGCCACCTAGTGTGTCCCGGCAGCTTGTACTCTTCGGGAACTTATCGTCTGAATAGCTCAGTTTTCTTCTCTGCAAAATGGGCCTTGGAATGTCCTCTTAGACTCTGGGATGAGTTTTCTTTAAGTTACGTTAGCAATGTAGCGCAGCCCCTGGTGTGTGCTAAGGGAAAAGAAAGTGCAGTCTGTCACCTCAGGCAGCTCCCAGTTGCTTCCCACAGCTCCCGAGCCCTGGTGCCAGCATGCAGGACACTCACACACCCTCCCTGCTCTCCCCTCTCACCAGGGCCAGTGACTGCTTATCTCCCCCAGCCCTCCCTGCCCTGCGGCCTTTTCCCTGCCACCTCTTTCCCACCACACCTCTTTCTTCCTCCTCAATGCCCGGGTCTGTCTGCCTGTGTGCTCGCTTCCTTCAGGTCTAGTTCTTGTTGCTCGCTTTCTCTCTGCTCTATTGCCACTGCCATTCTCATTCAATCTTTTCTTCCATTCTTGTCTGTGTTCTTGCTTCTCTCCACTCATACCCCCTTGTGCATTCTTCTCTTCCTACCTCTCTGCTTTTCCTCCAGCTATTTCCTAGTCAAAGTTTCCTTCCTTGGCTCTTTCACCACCCCTCTCCCTTCCTCCCTTCCTGCCTCCTGTCTCCCGCCCTTCACTCCTCCTCCCATCCTCTCCAGCAGGGCCACGTCTGTCCTCCCAGAGCCTCCACCAGCATTCTCCCTCACAACGCCCACTCCTGCCCTATGAAGGGCAGGTCTTTGGCGAAGCCACTCCACGCCTTATCTCCCCAGGTCATCCTAGCCAGCTCCTGGGCTCCCCCGTCTGCAGACTTCATTTACCACAATTTCACGTTTATATTATCTGGGCCACATCTGTACCCTCTGCTGAATTGCAAGCTTCCTCAGGATGGGCACATTGTTATGCCCGGCTTTCCGTCCATGGCACCAAACAAAAGGATGAATCCATAACAGGCACCGGCTTTATACTCTTGAGTGAATGGGTGATGCATGATTGAATGCATGAAAAAATGCCTGGCCCAGTGTCTGGGTTATTGTGTTCGGGACGGGCGCTGCTTCTCTGTCGGCTTCTCTTGTTTTATCTTGCTCTTTGCCCACATACTAGAAAAGCCTCTCTCTCTCTTTCCCCCTGCTCTTCCCTGCTCCTTTAAATAGGACTGAGACCTCAGCGCTGTCTGCTTCCACGCCCGTGTCTGTGGTTGGGACGGCCTGTGTACTGATGGCAAAACCCCACTGTAGCGGGGTCCTTGCTTCTAGCTGACATGCGGTCTGTCCAAAAGGTCCCCTAGCAGAGAGGTACGTGCCCTGGACAGTGGTAGAGATTGGGGCATACAGTGGGAGGAGGGAGGAAGCCTTTAACAGGTTCTTCCAACCTAGGGTTCATGCTCTAACATCTCCCCAGAGATAAGCAAAGTTGACATTAAGGTCAGTCAGCCTGGCTTTGAGTCTTAACTTGGCCTTGTTCTTCACGTGGCCTGGATGGACTTTTGTCCTGAATTCTTCCCTCTGTATGAAGGAGGCCTGCTGGCTCCTTCTTCAGAGAGTGAGCAAATCTGGAGATGGAAGTTTCCAAGACCCACCCAAAGGTACTTGAGGTATTTTCTTCTTTCCTTGTGAAATTTCCCTTCCCTTGGAAATATTCTAAACCACAAAGTACCAAACAAAATCAGCCAAAATCCCAGTTTGTGCTATGGGGGAGTTGAAGGGGGAGAGGTGTCTAGGATAAGAAATGCATGATTTAGCCAGTCATCATATAGTAATGTACAATGCAGTGTGGTCAGAGGCCTCCTGTGCTTTGTAGTGGACATGAGAGAGAGGTGCCTTCTGGTGTGGCCAGGAAGAGCCACTTCCTACAGGGAAGAGCTGTAGAAACAGAGATGACCATGGAAGCAGAGGGAGCAAGGGGCCAAGACAGAGACCCTGGTGTGGCCATCAGATAGGATGCCATCAGGAAGCTGCATCCGTTCTCTGTGAATGGCCAGGAGGCTGCACCTGTTCTCTGTGAATGGCCAATTCGTCTACATTTTTGACTTTGCGGGCCACACAGTCACTGTTGGAACTAGAGCTACTCAACTCTGCCCCCGACCTCGAAAACTTTCTTTGACACCACATAAATCAATGAATGTCAATGTGCCCTGACAAAATGTGTCCTAAAAAATTTTATTACCCAGAATGGATGCTGGTGCAGAATTCTACAGTTTGGTTTTCTCACCCAAAGCCATTGTCATCGACATCACACAGGTGGTCCTCACCTGCAGGACCAGACCAGGGAGCCTGAGGGAACATCCCTTGCCCATGGAGTGAATCTGGTCTCCCTGAAGGACTGTGGAGTTCAGAGTTCTGCATTTGGGCAACGAAGTATCCCCCTGTCCAGCACTGATTGGAGGTTTGCTGCTTGCTGGTGGCATTCAGTAGAGCTGAGCAATGAAGTGGCTGGTTATGATCAGGTTCCGCTGGACAGAATTTTCATCTTTATTAACCAGAGACGGCACTGCATACAACTCACTGTACTTTGAGTGGGAAACGGTGGAATGAACCAGTCTGTGCACCTACCACCTGCTCAGTGACCCCCAGCCAGCTCATGCCATCAGAATGGGGCTCAGTCCAGTTGCTGGAGGGTGTCACCAGCACACACCCTGGCACAGCCCCAACCCAGTTCTGTACAAGTGGCTGTGTGCTGCGGGTCACTCCCTCATCCTCTCTGGACCTCCCTCTTTTGTACAGTAGATGCTCAGACAGTTCTAGAAACCTGGGTTTTCTGGTTCCCAACCCCATTCACTGTCCTCCAAGCTTTGCTAATTAGCTCCCCAGCAGAGAGAATCAGGCCATGAATGCTCCCTGGCTGTGTTTCACTCTTTGTCTTAACAGGGCAATCCTTGAGCAGAGATTTCTTGTAGTGATAAGAACGCTTCAATTTTAAGTGAAACTTTCTGCTGATGTGTATGGATGTAGGATTCTTTTCTTTTTGATTCCCCCACTGCCAAGGACACACACACACACACACACACACACACACACACACACACACACACACAGTTGCATCTTGTTTTAAAAGAAAGGGTCAGTTGAGGGAAAGTCCAAACTATATCTGCAGAAAAGAAAACATGTGAGGCTGAGGGTTCTGAAGTACAAACAGGAAAAGGGGATGGGTGGAGGACCTCCCAAGGATGAGGACAGAGGGCACCCCAGTGGAAGAGGAGTAGGAGAGATGCCAGGACCTGAGCAGAGGGCAAGGCTAGCAGAGGGTAGCTGGGCTGGAGAAACAGACAGGACTCTTGATAAGAGTAGCCAGCGCATCCTTTACCAGCCCTTCTGAATTCTGCAGGATGCTGCCATTCTGAAGCTAAGCCGCCCGCCCCCCATCTGCGCACTTGGAAACCAGGGCTCAGGGAAGGAGATCATTTCCCCAGGTTAAAATGTCACCTCTTCAATAACAGGGCCATCCGGCCTACTGTTAATAAGGGGTGACTCTGGGCAAAGGATATGAATATATTTTTTTCTTATTTGTGCTAATTTTCTGGAGTCCTGAAAGTATTTCCAGACTGAAACACTAAGAAAAGAGCAGCCCTTCTAGGTGGCCGGCAGACTTCATACCCGGCAGACAGATGGTCCTTGCCCCGCTGTTTCCTAGCTGAGTGGCTTAGCAAGGTAAACTTCCCTTCTCTGCGCCTGTCTCCTCTGGGCACAGGAGGCAAGACTAGTATTCTTCTGCTTTCCCAAGGCTTGTTGTGAGGGTTAAATGAGATAATGTGTGCAAAGTGTGCTCAGTCAAGCATGCAGTTGCTGCTCCCAAAATGGTAACCAGCTCAGCACAGCAAATCAGCACCTGAACCAGACCTAGATCCATGGCCTTTTGCTAAAGTGCAAATTGGTCTTGCTTCCAGAAAATAAGGAGTAGACATTTTTCTAAGAGAATAAGTGTGGCAGGTTATGTGTCTTGTGAGCATTGTGATTTGGCTTTTCTCTCCGCCACCCTCTGTCCTTGTCTAAGAACTGCTTCTTACAGG